TTCAAATTAAGCCTGAATTTTGCAATAAGGAGCTGATGATCTGGGCCAGAGTCAGCTCCCGGTCTTGTCTTTGCTGGCAGGATAGAGCTTCTCCATCCTCCCTGTGCTTGCGTGCTAAGTCCCTTCAGTTGTGCCTGACTCTTTTCGACACTGTGGAGTGCAGACTTCCAGGCTTCTCTGTCCATGGGATTCTCCAGGCAAGAATACTGGAGTGGGTACCTATTCTCTTCTCCAAGGGATCTTCACGACCCGGGGATCAAAGCCAGATCTCCAGGATTGCAGGCAGATTCTTTACCATCTGAGCCACCAGGGAAATCCATTCCAGCCTCTCTACCTGGACGGTTTCCCTGGGAAAGGGAGGTGTAGTTGTTGTAACCACCTCTAGGGGTCAGGTTTCAGCACCTTTCACCTTATGGGCTCAGTATTTGAGGATAGGATTGGGTGTGGGAGGGACAAGGGGATTCTTCTAGGACCTAGGCTTCTGGCCTTTGCGCTCCCACCCTTTCCTTCCCTATCGCAATCTGATGCTCCCCATGGAGACATCTGACCCTTCTTGTGGGAGAGAGATGTCTTCTGGTCTCCCAAAAGTGGATTTGAACTAGGGCAGAGAAGGGCACCCTGGTCGGTAGGGCGGGACACTGAGCAAGCCAGAGGATGTCTCACCCCTCCACCAGGCAGGTTCAGGCTCCCGCTGGTCCACAGACAGGCTGCCTTAGCAGAGCACAGGTTCTGGCTAAAGGAGGTCCCTCCGTGCCTGTCCAACGGGACCCCGGCCAGTGGTCTTAAGCCACAGATGGGGAAAGATCTTTATAATCCACGCACACCACCAAGGGATAGAGAATAGGTTAGACGGCAGGTTGAAACACACATGGACACAAGGGAATAGATAACAGGGTAACATACAGATGCGAAAAGGATAGGATAACAGGCTGATAGACAGACCAACCACAAAGGAATAGGTAATAGGTTTAGGTTAACACGCACACACCAGTCAGGAAGGACTCGGGCAAGGTGGACAAAGGATAAGAATAAGCAGTAAACAGTGGAGCAGACGCAGATGTGCCAATGTACTGATGGACGATGTTGAGCAGCGAAACACAATCCCACGGGTCGGGGGCCTCTCCTGCATCCCATGGAGCTGAAGGTGTGCTCACGCTTGTCCCAGCAATTTCACTAACGTTGTGAACCTCGAAGGTGGCAAGAATGGTCCCTGGGATCATTTGGAAATTTGAAGGTGCTTGTCAGAATGACAGAGGAAGGGAAGCCTTCAGTTGGCAGGGCCCAGGGGTGTTTAATACCCTGTAACCGGCAGTGAGCAATTGTCCCATTGTTGTTTAGTTGCTAAGCTGTGTCCGATTCTCTTGTGACTCCACGGACTGTAGCCCGCCAGGCTCCTCTGTTCATGGGAATTCCAAGTCCAGATTACTAGAGTGGATTGTCATTCCCTTCTCCAGGGGCTCTTCCCGACCCAGGGATCGAACCCATGTCTCCTGCATTGAAGGCAGATGCTTTACGGCTGAGCCACCAGGGAAACCCCAATTGTCCCATGGTTTTGCCCATAAACACAGTATTCATGGGACTTCCCTGGTGATCCAGTGGCTAGGACTCCGGGCTTTTACTGCAGGTGGCTTGGTTTCAATCCCTGGTCAGGAAACTAAAGATCCTCCATGCCACTCACTACTCAGCCAAAATTAAAAAAATAAAAAAGAAAGAGGTCAGTGGTTTCTGAGAGTTGGGGCACAGTGGGGAAGAGCAATGAATAGGCAGAACCCAGAGGATTTTTAGGGCAATGAAAATATTCCATATTTAAGATGCTAAGATGATAAATACATATCATTATGCATTTGTCAAAACTCGACACCAAGAGTGAATTATATTGTAAACTATGGACTTCAGGTGGTAATGATGCGTCAGTATAGGTTCATCAGTTACAAGAAATGTACCATCCTGACTAGACGCTGATGGTGGAAGAAGCTGTATCTGTCGGGCTGGGAAGACATGGGAACTCTCTATACTTTTAGTCAATTTTGCTGTGAACCTAAAACTATAAAAAATAAAGCCTATGTTTAAAAAAATAATAAAGGGTTTAATTTTCCCAGTTGAATACAAGGGAAGAGACCTCCCTTCCTTTCTCTTCCAGAATTCCTTTCTCTTTTTCTCATGTATATGCATCAGTTTGACGGCTAAATAAGCCTCTTGCCAGCCTAATACTCTGAAGGTTTTTCCTCTAGCAGCTGGGAGCTATCTCTTTGAAACAATAACATCCCACTTCCCAGTTTCCTGGGAGGAGAAGGGCTTAACTTCAGCCATCACCTTACTCTGAATTGCAAAGCCTATCTCTGGGCATACAGATATGAGAAAATTAGCAATTTTACCTTGAGCGCATGTACATGTACATAATGAGAAAGTCTGCCTGACTGTATGAAGGCTGAGATGTCCCTGTCTTTGCAGTCACTGCTGCAGATTGCCTGGGAGGCATCACTCTTTGGTTTAATGTCAATAATAAGACTGTTCTTTCTCTTTAACCTATATGGACGGGCTTTCTGGGTTGGGAGAGCTTGCTTTTAATTATATTCCACAACAGGGCCTGTATCCAAAGGCAAATGTTAGAATGTGTGGTTTGGCCAGTGTGGATGCCTGTGGGGGGCAAGGGTCAGGCCTGGGCCCCCTGGGGGGACTGACTTTGGATGCAAGGTGCCATGCGGGTTGTAGCGTATGTACTACACGTGACAGCCTCCCAGAGCAGGGGCAGGGCCCCCCTGAACCCCCAGAATCCATGGCCTCTTTTTCCTGAACCTGAAGTGTCTTGTCCGTGAGATGGCGGTAACTAACACCTGCCTTCCCGCGCCCACACGCGCTCCTCGCCGCGCTGTGCCCTGGGAAGCCCCCGAGGTGCCCCCTGCTCCAAATGATGTCTTTCCTTCTAGCTCCGGGTTGGCCCCTTGCCCCAGCTAGTGGCCCCGCGTTGTTTCCTGTGCTCCCATCTCATCTCTCCAGCCACTGAGGGCTGCACATCTTGTGGCCTCAGTGTTGACTGTTCACTCCGCAAACTGTCTCCAGGCCTCTGTCATGGGCCAAGAACTTCCACGCCCTAGAAAGCCCCCTGAGGAGGCGGGGCTGTGTGTTTCTGTAAACCCGTCCTTGCCATCTGGGATGGTCTGGGTGCCGAGCCCTGCGGCTCATTGGCAAGGGGTGGGGGGTTCAAGTTGGGGCAGGTGACACCTCGACAGATTGAGGGTGAGAATTGACTGGGGGTGGGAGAGGACAGGATTCCTGTAGTAAGACAGAAGTGGAGGCTTCAGGACCACCACCAGACATGGAGATGTGTGTGTGTTGGGGGATGGGGGGGGGCAGACGAGGGTGCTGCTGGAGCAGAAAAGATCCAGTGGGGCTAGGAGCTAAGACCAGTGTAACGGAGCAGGAGCCTAAGGGGCCTTCCTGGGACAGACCCCCTCCTCCTCCCACGTCCCCTGCCCGCCTCTTGTTTATAGAAAAGCTGTTGTGTCCCAGGCCTCAGCTGAGTCACAAAAGCCTGGCTCAAGAATTCATGATTGGGGGACTTCCCTGGTGGTCCAGTGGCTAAGAAGTCGCCTTCCAATGCAGGGGACGCAGGTTCAATCCCTGGTCAGGGAACTAAGAGCCCACATGCCCAACCAGAAAAGGCCTATGGATACAGCTGAAGACCTGGCACAGCCAAAAATAAATTAATTAACTTTAATTAAGACTCTGATGCTGGGAAAGATTGAGAGCAGGAGGAGAAGGGGGCAACAGAGGATGAGATGGTTGGATGGCATCACTGACTCAGTGGACATGAGTTTGTGCAAACTGCAAACTCCGAGAGATAGTTAAGGACAAGGGATCCTGGCATGCTGCAGGTCATGGGGTCTCAAACAGTCGGACACGACTTAGTGACTGAACAACAACAAATTAATTAACAACAAAAAAGAATTAGTGATTGGAAGGATGTGAACATCTAGTGATAAAAATGGATAGTAGTTGGGCCAGGAGAACTGGTGAGAATTTGGAGTACATCAGCCATATGGCAGTCACAGAATCTTCAGTTCCTCCCTGAAGTACCTAGGTAACAATGTTTGTGCATGTTTCCTGAGTTGTTTTACAGATGCTAAACTAAAATCCCCGCCAAATGGAAGAAGTTAATTACGTGATGACTGTGAGCACTGTAGCCCCCAGACCTACTGGCACCTGAGGACTGATCATGTTAACCCCTGTGACACTGCCCCATTGCCTCACCATCAACCAGAGACTTGCCCCAGAGCTGATCAGCGCACACCCTGTGATTCTCCTCCTCACCTTGCTTTAAAAACACTTGAAACCCACCCAGGATTTGCAGCCTTTTGAGCATGAGTCGCCTGGTTTTCCTTTGCAAGAACCCTTTCTCTGTGCCAAACTCCAAGCCCGGGTTCGTTTCTCCTCACTGTGGGTGGGGTGCACAAATCTGGCTTGGGCAAGAGAAGAGGGCAGAGGGCAGGCAGGGACTGTCATCTGTGCCCTCTGGAGCCTGGGGTCCATCCTTCACCCAGAGAAGGACTCAGTAACAGGCTTAGCCTGGTCCAGGTGGGAGAGGGGAGTGGCCGTCTTTCTGTCCGGGAAGGCTCAGGGCTCGATGGGGGCGGGGGGGGCGGGGCATGGAGGAGGGGAGCCTGGAGACCCCCGCCCCAGTGGCGGGGCGGAGGTAGCGGGGGCGTGTGGTCCTGACTCAGCAGGGCTAGCAGGCAGGCTGAGCCCGAGAGACAGTCGGCCTTGGGGGCCGAGCTGGGCTCGGTGACCACCATGAGCACCAGGGAGACCCCCCAGACGGGGGGCGGGGCGAGTCCCACCGGCCGGGCGGCCCCTCCCGGGCTTAGCACGCCCGACAGCACTAACCAGCCGGCCCAGCAAATCTTTTGTCGGGGCGGCGCTGAGCCAGCAGGGCACCGCCCGCTATATCTGGGGCCCCCTATACGCCCGCGGACCCGCACTCCAGGCGCCCAAGGTGCACCATGGCGCAGCGCTCGGGGAAGGTGAGTGCCCGAGGTAACCGCTGGGCCCCGGGGCGGGGCCCAGAACCCCCTTCCGTGGCTCTTGATGCTCTGGATGGGGGCTGGGGGTGGAGGGTGGCAAATTGCTGCTTCGTACCCTTTGCATCTGACAATCCCAGGGTAGCCTGGCCCTGGCTGAGGGCCTCTGTGATGTGGGGGTTAGGAAGTACCCCTATCACCCCCTCTAGCCCCTCCAGCAAGCGCTGGCTCTGGGGCCCCAATCTCCACCCCCAGCCAGGAACAGGCAGGGTGGTGAGCTGTGAGGGGTGCCTGGGTTGCGGTGGGGGACCCCTGCCTTGCCTTGCAGGCCCTGGGCCCCTGCTTCTTTCCCTGAGGCTGTTCTAATGTGGCTGCTCCTTCCTCAGAATCTGCCCAGGGGCACTTGGGACTAGTTATCTGCACAACCATTCAGATCTGAGGGGGCCTCCGAATTCTGTGGGTGACAAGTTGTCCTTGAATATCTGGGGGTGGGGAGAGCCCTCAAAGAGACTTGTGCAGGAAGGAGGGTAAACTTGGACCTCCCCCCTCTTCGCTAGCTCCCTGTCTTTTGGTCTCCAGGGGCTACATTCAAGGTTAGTGAGTAAGAGTATTACTGCATCCGTCTGCGCGGGCTAGGTTATGCCTCAGTAACAAACAGCCCCAAGAGCTCCCCTCCACCACGGTCCACGCACCCTCTGTGCTGCAGAGCGACACCCTGACAGCGGCAGAGGCAGAGGGAGAGAGGAGAAATGAGGAGTTTTCAGAGCTTCCGAGTCCCCACACATCCCTTTGGCCAAAGCCTGTGGCTTCACTTAACTCTGAGGGGCCCAGAGAGGCAGTTGTGCCATCAGTGACAGCACTGCCGTCACTGGGCCCAGGTAGCGGTACTTTGCCAGGCCCCTTCCAGGAGCCCCAAGTATTAGTTGTTCAGTCGTGTCCAGCTCTTTGTGACCCTGTGGACTGTAGCCTACCAGGCTCCTCTCTCCATGGGATTCTCCAGGCAAGAATTTGGAGTGGGCTGTCATTCCCTTCTTCAGGGGACCTTCCCCACTCAGGGATCAAACCCAGGTCTTCTGCATTGCAGAGGCAGACTCTTTACCATCTGAGTCCCCAGGGAGTATCACCCTGAAGAGTCATCGAATGGTTGGAATGTTAGGTTCCTCTGCAGAAAGGGAGTGAGTTTGAGGTTGATATGATTCATGTTTTTGTTTTGTTTTGTTCTTTTTTAAGTACAACTGACTGACAAGATTGGCTTAGTTTCCGGTGTATGACGTAGTGACTGGATATTTTTATCCCTTACCAGATGATCATCAATAGGTCTAGTTATCATCTGGTTCATGGTGTTCAGTTTGAGGACACCCTTCAGTGCTACATCACCATGGCACACGGTGTCTGAACTGACCGCTGGGTTAGAAAAGCTCCAGATCTAACACATGCATGTCACCCGGAGGGGTGGCCTAGGGCACAAAGGGACGGGGCTACATTGAAAAAACCTGCTTTTGAGCTGTTAATCCCGCTCCGGGCCCTGACTTGGCTCTGTTGGATTCAGTCTGTCCGGTGAAGCAGACGGATGCCAGAAACCTGACTTTCTGAAAACTGAGTATTTGGTTATAATGGTGAGTCCTGAGTGAAGTGTTTTCTCTTGGAAGTGTTTCCTTGGATATTGTGTTTTAAAGATGAACAAAAATTGAATTTAAAATCTGCAGTGGCAGTTTGAAAAGAGCCAGTTTTCACAGGGGCCCCTGGACAAAGGGGAAGTGCCTGTCTCCTCGGATCTTCTGAGATTTGTCTGCTCAACCATGGGCCCCTGGGGTGGGGATGGCCGGGCACTGTGGCTGACCTCAACCTGACATCCATGTGTTCTTTCACCCGATCAAGAGACAGGGTTGAACAGCTAGTGTATGCAGCAGATCTGGGCCTGGGGACTCAGGGTTCAGTGGGGCTGTTGGACCCCACCTGTCCATTCCCAGAACTGAAAGGAGAGGCGCGCCCGACCCTTGCCCTCTCACCTGGCTCCTCTAGATCACACTCTACGAGGGCAAGCACTTCACAGGCAGGAAGCTGGAGGTCTTCGGGGACTGTGACAACTTCCAGGATCGAGGCTTCATGAACCGGGTGAACTCGGTCCGCGTGGAGAGTGGGGCCTGGGTCTGCTTCGACCACCCTGACTTCCGGGGCCAGCAGTTCATCCTGGAGCATGGCGACTACCCTGACTTCTATCGCTGGAATGGCCACAATGACCACATGGGCTCCTGTCGGCCTGTGAGGATGGTAAGTGGGCCGGGGTCCTCCACCTGGCTGGCTGGGGGGCTTCCTGCTGGAGTGATCCAGGGCTCCATGAGTCTGCTCAAGACATGGAACAGGTATTGGGAGTGGGGTGACCCTCCCAGCTTTAGGAACAGGTGAGACCATGGGATCTTTAAGACGGCGAGATGTCCCCACACAGACCTAGCTGCTCCCGTGCATGGGGACCGAATCGGAGAGCCCCTGGGAGTTTTCATGCCCGCGTTTTCAGCCGTGTATCAGCTTCGATTTCCGATGCCAAAATCTTGCTGAGTTTTCCACTTAAAATGCTATTGGAAACATCAGAAGTTTGGATTTGCGACCAGATGGGGGAAGCAGTCAGCTAAAGTAAGGCTCATGTGGGCCTAGTGTGTCCACCAGCCAGGTCACCTTGTAGCGCTTCTCGGGAGCCTTCAATGGAGCAGCCGATGGAAGAAGCTTAGGTATCCTTGGCCAGGTAGCGGGAACTAGGGGACAGGACCCAGCAGACGGCTGCCACTTCACAGGGCGGATGATGAGGGGCGTCACTCCTCCTCGGCGAAAGACTGTGTGTGTCTGGTTGTCCCTAGTGTGGGGACTGGGCGTTCCTATTCCTTACGAGTCACCCAAGTTCAAGTCCTAACTGGCCTGCTGTGAGCTCTGGAAGCTAGGGCGGGACACAGCTGGTTCCTGAGAGCCAGGCAAGCTGCTCATGGGGCATCTCAGGCCTTGTGTCTGCAGGAGCGCCTCCCTGGACAAGCATCTGAGGACCCCCGGGCAGGGGCTTCTGAGTGGAAACCCCTCAACCTCTCTCTTTTCTACATGGGCTGCAAACCCAGCTGGGTTTTGGCCTCTCAGATTGTAAGAAAACTTTCTTACGCTTCCCATCAGGTCACAGACATTTGGAAAAAAGGAATTGTCATGGCTGGCCCTGGGTCTTGCATAATGCTATTTGTACGAAAACTATCCCGGGTATCTTTTGAATGCTGTTCTCATAAAGAGCTGTCTTTGGGGCCAGCTCTGGCGAAGACCCAGCCCCCGCCGGCGCCAGAGCCCAAGGGGAGCTGGCCCGCCTCCGGCTTTTGGAAATACAGGGGACTCTTAAGAGGGTATGTCCTCGGCCCAGTGAGCCAGCAGGGATTTCAGCAAATGAGATCTCTTATTTGTTTTAGATTTTTGGCTTCATGTTTTAATAAAAGGTTCTGTTACAGTTTGTAAAATATTATCCTTTAAAAGCTGCCCATGGCCTGCAGCCCGGGGCGGGGCTGGGGGAGGTGATGGGCACAGGAATGCGGTGGTGTGTCTGGGCAGGAGGAAGCCCAGTGCCCCAAGCAGGTCCGAGGGCGGCCGCTGTTCCAGACGGGCTGGCCCTCTCTGGATCCTGGGTTCTTCAGTTGAACAAAGGGGAGAGTAGACTGATTTGAGGCCCTGAATCTTTTTAAAGAAATAGATGCCTTTCATCCAAACGAATCTTAACTGCAAGTTCTGGGCTGAGGGGCGGGTGTTGGGCCTGGGAGGGGGCACTCACTAGCTCTCCAGTCCAGGAGCTCTTGGGTGCCCCCAGGGCCCTGGGTGAGATTCCGCTCCCACCCACACGTGGGCACTCCCTTCACCCTCTTCCCTTCCTCACTCTCGGTGGGGACCCGCAGCACGGGGAACACTTCCGCCTAGAAATCTTCGAGGGCTGCAACTTCACGGGCCAGTGCCTGGAGTTCGAGGAAGACTGTCCCTTCCTTCAGAGTCGGGGCTGGACCAAGAACTGTGTCAACGCCATCAAGGCCTACGGGGACGGAGCGTGAGTAGAACCCACCTGGCTGCCGCCCACAGGTCCCCACCTGCCAGGGTGGGTCAGATCCCCCAGCAGAGGGGCAGTCTGTCCCCTGCCCCGAGACCCTTTCCCTCCCTCCCCCAGCCACCTCCCTGGCCCAGGAAGGCCAAGTTCAGGGGACACGGGGCTCCAGAGGGCCCCCGCCCACCCTCCGTGCACAGGGCAGGGAGCCCTTTGCAGATAGTCATTCTCTAGGATTGGGCTGGGCTCTGGTTTGCTTGAGCCGGAGGAAGCCTGTTCTGGGCAGGGTGATCCTGCCCAGTTGCCCACCCCTCACTGACCCTGCACTGGACTTCTCTCCTACGAAGCGCCCAGCCCCCCTAGGCGGGCCTCCCTGGGGAGATGCACCTCACTTCTGGTGGACCGCGTGGCTGACTGAGTTTCCCTGCACGCCCAGTTCCTTCCACCAGCTGAGGCAGGCTGTGCGCCCACTGTGCACGCCCATTGGGCCAAGTTTCACAGCCCCTGTGTGCACCCAAGCTGGCCATCTCCTCCCCATCTACCTGGCTGGGTGGACTGTGTGTCCCCATTTTACAGAGGAGCAAGCTGAGGCCCAGAAAGTTATCCCTACCCTGCAGTGAGTGGCCCTGCTGGGATGACAGCCAGGCCTTTGGCTCCAAATCAGACTGTCCCTGCTCTGGAGCCGGGGGTCTCCCCAGACCTCAGCCCCAGCCTCCAGGAGAAGAGCCCCAAGACATGGGTCCCAGGAGCCTGGCTCTTGTCACAGCGTCTATGGGATCCCTTAAGGCACAGAGTCAGGGTGCCAGGGGTGGTCATGCCAGGGACTGAAGGAAGACGCTCCCCACCTTTCCTGGCATAACTGATGTTGGCTGCTGGGTCCTGGGCCCTGACCCAAAGGTCCTTCAGAAATTCCAGGTTTGCCCCAAGCTGATGGCACCTGGGGTTCTGGGGGTAGAATTCCAAAACAACCATTTGCTGGCTAAATTGTGTCTTGTGAGGCCAGAGTCATACCTTTGGGTAGAAAGTGTCCTGAGCCCTGAGCCCCAACCTACACCCACCCCTGGGAGTCCCAGGGGCTTGTTTAGAAAAGAAGGCAGGGAGGTAGGAGCTAAGATTTGATATAGGGACTTCAGGCCCCTCTTTACTTAAGAGGGGGCAAGGCTCAGAGGGGTGAGGGGGTCACTGGAGGCTGCCCGTGGTGGATGCTACATCCGGCTCTGGGCTCTGCTTGTTACCCATGGAGCTTTCATCCTTTGTCTCCTGTGACTTCAATTTGAAAAAGAGATATGTAAACCCGTGGCCAAGACATGCTGCCTGATGACGCCCCAGGATATGTAGTCTGGGTGGGGAGGGGCGTGGGGTGGCGGCTGTGGGTCAGTGGGGTTGTGGGGCTTCAAGTACAGGATCTGGTCAGCCCCGGCCCCTGACCCCTGCCCCCCTCCACCCAGGTGGGTTCTCTACGAGGAGCCCAACTATCGGGGCCGCATGTACCTGGTGGAGAGGGGCGACTTCCGCAGCTTCTCCGACTGGGAGGCCCACAGCGCGCGCGTCCAGTCCCTCCGCCGGGTGGCCAACTTCTTCTAACTGCCCGCCCGCCCGCCTGCCCACCGAGGTCTGGCCGCGACCAGGAGCCGCTCCCCCAAGGAGAGAGCCAGTCCCCTCTGCCCACCCCGGGACCGTGGGGAATAAACGTCCTAAAAGCCAAGTGCCGAGTGACTTCTCTGCCCTTTGTGACCAAGGGACAGCGTTGGGATATGTGGGTGGGTGGGGGTGCCCCAGGCCCTGGAGGGACCGACCAGAAAGGATGGAGGGGACGAAGTGAGGCATCTGCTGGGAGAAGTCAGGGCTGGAGGGGACCTGCAGGTCGTGGAGTCCAACCATGTTGTTTCACACGTGAAAAGTCAATGACCCACATGGGGAGGCACCACCTTGGATCTAGGATGGGAAGAGGTGTTTCCACCACCTGAAATGCTGCCCTGGGCCAGCCAGGGGAGAAGGCAGGGGGGGGGGGGGTTGTGATGGGGGAGGGTGTGATGGGGTGGGGGAGGGGCAGGGGGAGGGAGGTCGTGATGGGGGAGGGGTAAGGATGGAGGAGGTGATGGGGTTGGGGAGGAGACTGGGCGGGGAAGTGGGGAAGGTGGGCAGGGGGAGCTGCCAGGCAGCATGGTCTGCTCCACTCCACCACCAAAGCCTGACCCAGGGCCCCTGAGTCGGCATCTCGGGGAGAATCTTGGCCTCAGGGATCTCATAGGGGAGGACCTTCTGAAAGGATGGGCTGGACCGCAGGGGCACATCACCCCTTACAGCCCATATGGAGAGAGAAATTGGGCTTGGAAGAAGGGGGCATTGCTGCCTGATCAGTGGGCTCTGAGGAGGGGAGGGGAGGAGACAGGAGGCGCCTTCAGGGCTGAAAGGCGGGGGAGCATTCACTCCCCTGCCCCTAACTCTCACAGCGCTGCTCAACCCAGGACCCCCGCTCTCTTCACCCCAAGGAGAATTCACGGAGTTTCTCTGTACCGTGGGCCCTCTCCAGGGCAGTGGGCCCACCTTGGTGGGCTGGGCTTGATGGGAGGGGCATTCACACACACACATCCCCCCCAGGGGACAGGGAAGGAGGAACCTGGCCTGGGAGGGAGTGGGGTTTCCAGGAATAAGAGACCACCATGGCTTCCCTGATGGCTCAGTGGTGAAGAATCTGCCTGTCAACCCAGGACACACGGGTTCCGGGTTCTGTCCCTGATCTGGGAAGATCCCACAAGCCTTGGAGCAACAAAGCTCCCCTAAGCGCCACAGCTATTGTGCCTGTGCGTTAAAGCCCGGGAGCTGTGCCGAAATGACAGAAGCCCGAGCTCCGCAACAAGAGGAGCCGCCACAATGAGAAGCCCGCACGCTGCAACCAGAGAAAGCCTGTGTGCCGCAGCGGAGGCCCAGCACAGCCAAAAATAAATCAATTAACTGTAAGAAAAGAAGCTCCCGATCCCTCCCCGCCCACACTTCAGTGTCCAGCCAACCCCCGTACCCCGGCCCCGCCACTTCAGTGACCCAGGTAATGTGGTCTCCTGCCCACGGCTGACCGCCAGAGTCCTGCGCTCTCTCCATCCAAACCAAGCACTTGAAGAAACTACCATGAAACTCACCACAAACCAGTGCAAGACCCTGAGCCCACAACGCCTCGCCTCCTGTGGGTCGAGAAGAGGGTTTGCCGAAAGCCATGCACTTGGGTTCTCTGCTGGCTTGTTGGGGGAGGCGGTCTCTCTGGTCAAGCTCAGCCACGCTTGTCTCCAGGTGTGGGAGGCCCTGCCTGAAGCCAGGCCCCTGTGCCTGCTCAGCTGATCTTTCCAGCAACTGTCTGACCCCTAGAGCTCCACATCAGGCCTAGGAGAGGAGGGGTCAGCAGTCCAGCTGGCCCCCAGCCTGCAGGACCTCACACTCCTTTCCCCAATGTTGATGCTTCCATTGAAGTTTTTATTTTATGCACTGACTTGATGCTGGGCTCTGTATGAGTGGAATCTGTGTCATTTTACTTACATCCGAAAGTGAAGTCACTCATTCGTGTCCGACTCTGTGACCCCGTGGGCTGTAGCCTATGAGGTTCCTCCATCCATGGAATTTTCCAGGCAAGAGTACTGGAGTGGGTCACTGTTTCCTTCTCCAGGGGATCTTCCCAACCCAGGGACTGACCCCAGTTCTCCAGCATTGCAAGCAGACAATTTTACTGCTTGAGCCACCAGGGAACCTTACATACAATAACACCATGATCGTGATAAACTTATTATCACCGCTGCAAAGGAGAGCTGGACACAGACAGGTGAGGCAACTTGCCCAAAGGTCACACAGCAGTCAGGGTTCAAACTGGGCCTGGCCGATAACTTTTGCTCCTCATCACTGCACCAGACTGCACACATATTTGCATATGTGGGTGTATTTCACAAGAGTTAAGGTAACAGTAGTCCACCCAGCAGCAATCACACACGCAGAACCATAGTCCCTGCGTCACCTCATTCAAACTCCCAGTGACCCGTGAGGAAGGGGGTCAGGAAGAAGCAGGATCTGGCGCGAATTGGGAGCAAAGTCGGTGCGGGGCTGGGATAATGGAAATGTTATGCCTGATGTCCGAATCCCCGAGCGGGAAGAGAGAAGGCCTCCAAGACAATGCAACTCGCAAAAAGGGAAGTTTATTGCTGACTCGAGTCAGGGCTCCTGCCACATCCAATGCAGTGGTGCGGGGTCAGAGAGCCCCGAGCCCAAGCTGTTACACAAATTTATAGGGTGAGCACGTTGGTACGCCGTTGGTAGTTGGTTTAAGCAATTTCATTGGTCAAAACTTTCGCGCGCGGGCCTTTCCCGGGGGTTTCCGCCCCATTCCTAATTGGCAAACAGCGGTCAGTGTTAAGCTGATTGGTTGTATCCAGGTGACCTGATAATCACCCAGAAGTAGGAAGGCCTACTCCTAATCTAAGCTGTCTGCCATGGCATTACTTCTGCTCGCCTCACAGAAACTGTTCTCTCATAGGTCCGGAGGCCAGAAGTCCGAGATCGAGGTGCTGGCACCTCTGGCATGCAGGTGGTTGTCTTCTCCCTGTGTCCTCACGCGGCCTTTTCTCTGTGTTCCCCGTGTCCAAATATCTTCCTAGAAGGACACCAGTCATATTGGATTAGAATCCAACCTAACAACCTTATTTTCATATAATCACCTCTTTAAAGACCCTCTATCTCCAAATGCAGTCACAGTCTGAGGTTCTAGGGCTTCCCAGGTGGCGCTAGTGGTAAAGAACCCACTTGCCAACGCAGGAGACCTGACTTGGCTTTGATCCCTGGCTGGGGAAGATCCCCTGGAGGAGGGCCTGGCAACCTACTCCAGTATTCTGTCCTGGAGAATCCCAAGCACAGAGGAGCCTGGCAGTCTACAGTCCATAGGGGTCGCAGAGTCAGATAAAACAGAAGCTACTTAGCACGTACGCACATTTGAGGTTCCCATATGAGTCTGGGAGAGACATGTGGCAGCCCGTAACTTGAGCCAAACAGCCTCTCTGGACCTCAGTCTCCTGCTCTATGACACGCGCTCCATCACGTCTGTTGTTCTAGCTATATGCTTGCGTGGGTGCTCAGTCGCTCAATCGTGTCCTACTCTGCAACCCCATGGACCATAGCCCACCAGGCTCCTCTGTCCATGGGATTTCATAGGCAAGAATACTGGAGTGGGTTGCCATTTGCTCCTCCCGGGGATCTTCCCGATCCAGGGATGGAACCCCTGTCTCCTGCATCTCCTTGCATTGGCAGGCAGATTCTTTACCACCGAACCACCCGGGAAGCCCTGTTCTAGCTGTTTACGCAGCTATAAAAGCCAAACAAGTAACTCTGAGAAGGTGCCGTGTGAATACTGGTTATTAGCTGTAAGGGACGCACTCAAGGTCATCCAGGACCCCGGCAGAGCAAGGGTTAAGGGCCAACTCGGGGTCTCCACCCTGATCTTCTCTCGGTCCCTCACTAGGCTGTGTCCTGGACAAGTCACTGCTCTGCGCCTCAGTTTCTCCAGCTGTATGGTGGGAATAATCCCTTCGCAGGGAATTAAGGGAGACTTGCCCATGGCCGAGGAGCTCGGTCCAGTCTGGGGAGCCTGGCGAGGGGCCAGGCCTCGCAGCCCTTCCGGAGTCCCAGAGGTCTCTCTGAACTCACCCTGCTGCCCAGCACCTCATTACCTGGTGATTTCGGGCCTCAGCGATAGGCCTGTGCTCCTGGGTGGCCTCCCGCCCCCCGGCCCTCTGAGGCCTCATGTGCCTGCCAGCCTGCTTCTCAGGCTCAGGAGGAAAAACAGGATTCCCAGCAAAGTGCTTGTGGGCAGGCCTGTAATTTGTCTGAAGTCAGGCCAGGGGGCCAGTGGACCGAGGGCCAGCGCCTTCTGAAGAGTCACACACGCCTCACATACTTGTGTCTCTGCTCTGTGGCTTGGAGAGCGGGGCTCTCACCCGGTGCCTCTCGTCCTCAGCTCTCCGGCCTCCCCCACCACCCCCCCTGACCACCAGGAACCGCATTTGCTGTGTAGCAGGCCAGTCTGACTCCTGGAAAACATCCCCTCTGAAATCCCCACCGACGCTCCCACCCTCCCCTCCCCCCCCCCTCCTCCTCCCAGCCTTCCCCCACCCTCCCCTCCCCCACCCTTCCCCCACCCTCCCCTCCCCCACCCTTCCCCCTCCCCCAACCTCCCCTCCCCGACCCTCCTGCTGCCCCGCCTCCATCCTGGTGAGTCCCAGGATCCTCTGCGACCCTGGAGACCACCCCCACCATGTTCCCTGAGACTTCCTCCCGTCTCTACCTCCAGGGCCCTACAGATCTGTGTTCCCCTCAAGAAAGCACAGAGATTTATAATTTAAAAAAAAAAACCTGTTGAATGAGAGAATTTAAATATGTAGCTCAAAACAAAAAAATGTAGTTCCTCAGTTTCTGTTTGGGAAGATGAGAAGGTTCTGGAGGTTGGTGGTGGTGATGGTTGCCCCCCGAAAAACGTCAAGGTGTTTAATGCCCGGGGCACGGGAAAACAGTTCAGAGGGGTGAGTCTTCTGTCCTTAACGTGTTACCCCAATGAA